GTGAATTTATATATCCGACGGTGTAATGAAAGTCTAAGAACATTTTTCTCACAGACTCGGATACTTTCAAGCGCTTTAGTTCCGACGGGTCCACCAGAATGGGCGGGGGCGGTCGCCATGAATAGTAATAGAGGTTAAGGCTCAGGGGACGCAGTCTCCGTCGTGAGTAATACCGCTTATGGCGCGTTCTAAATCGACAATACCCAAGGGCGCTCTCCCGGCTAACAGACTGTTTCATAAACTTACCTAACTGGGATTTGTTTTGTGGATTGGAATTTGGACCGTGAAGTATTCGCGGAGTACTCGTGACGACTCTATTAAGCTGTTTGGGTGGGCTTCATATTTTATTTACGAGGAATTTTACGAGATATTCGAGTTGACTTACTCGAGTATACTTGTGGGTTTTGAATTTTACAGAAAAATGTTTGACTTTAACATTTGTATGGATATTGCAAAATTAGCAAGATCCTAAAATCATAATCTCATTGTAGTAAATCGTAGAGCATCATCTCTACCTAAACAATTGTTAGCTTATGGTGTAATTTGGAAACTATACCAAAACTATTAGTGGTTAATTATACTAAAGCGTAACAGTTATCGACCATGGCACTAGTGGCATGCCAAATGTTTCCAAACCTGTCGCGTTAGGGCTTTCGAATAAGTGTGTGTTGGGAACGCTGTCAGCTGGACTCACATTCATGAGCAGGTCCGGCGAGGAGGAGGGTTTGCCGCTCATGGCGCCGGCGCTGGCAGCTCATGTCACTCACTCACAGGCTCACAGCACTCGCGAGCGGCGCGGGCGCGGGCGTGCGGTCTGCGTGCGCCGAGCGACCGCGACTGCCGCACGCCGGCCCCCACCGCACCACTCGGCCCCCACCGCTACCGGCTGCCTCATTTCTCACTATAATTTGCGTGCTGCTCGTTTTTTACCATTATTACTCCCTCGTTTTGTTTTACGTATTATCGAGTGCATCCCGCTCGCACCGGCCGCCATGCGCGACGAGTGCCGCCCAGATAATAGCCGCGCGCAATTACGGTCCGGCCGCGGTGAGCCACCGCGCACGCAGCAACTAGCGTCATCTATTGGCGAAAAGCTAACGCTAATGAAAAATTTCACAGAAGATTATTTCGAATTTCTTTTTTCCAACAGCAATACTTGCTAGAAGTGTTCCATTTAATTAGTCTGTGTAGTGGCGGTGTAAGAATATATATTACACTATATCGTTCCTTCGTGTCGTAAGAGGCGACAAAGGGAAACAAACCAGAAGACAGTAGGCAACAGCATCTTCGTATTAGGTAACAACTACAAAATAAAAAACTAGGTTCCCCAACTCGCCCTCCCAGCGTGGCAACAATGGCATGTATCCCCCTTATGAGGCAATCTTTGGGAAGACCTATGATCAGCAGTGGACTTTGATAGACTGTAAAATGAATAAGTCCTCAGTGTAAAGTTAATTTATAAAATATTTTTTTCAATAGATACTATAAGATTACTTTGTATTGAGTAATTAACCTGTACAATAATAAGTAATAATATGCTGTACAATAGATTATTAACTATTATCAAACCACATTACGTCAACAACCTTTTTAATCTCTTTAACTACTGCTGCTTTTTTAAAAAAACGCCAGCTGGTAAGCACTGTTTCTCTGACTTTTTAAATCCGTGAAAAGATTTTGATGAATTTAACATTTCGTGAACAGCTATATTTCCACTTCCACATAATGCAAGCACTACCACGCCGTTCGGAGAGAAACGGTCCACCAAATGCGAGAGGCACTGGCAGTGACGTCTCCCATTACCATCTCTATGGTTTTTTTTTTCTATTTGAAAGTAACAAGGAAAATGTAGTTATTAAACCAAACACCAACACACATGTTACAAAAAACATAACAGACTAATCAACTTGTGTCTAACTATAAAATCAAATTTTAGATGTAATCAAAGCAATGTAACCATAAGCTCTCGAAGCTAGTTTTCAGAGCGCCCTCTAGCGAGTAACGTACGGACGAATATGCTACTAGTACAACAATTACTAACGAATCTGCTACACATACCTACAACTATTACTACGACTACAACTCGACGTTGACGCCGCAAAAGGGTGAACCTCAATTTTTCAAAAAATTACAGGAGAGCAAGAAAACGTTTATTATTCCACGATTACTAGGTTTTTGCATCAGAAAATTAATCTTATTCGTAGTTTTCCATTAAGTCTAATATATTTAATTTTCTGATGAAAAAAAAAGCTAGTGATTGGGGAATAATAAATGTTTTCTTGTTCCTTTTTAATTTTTTGAAAAATTGAGGTTCGCGTCTTTGCGGTGTCAACGACGAACTGTTGCCCTACCACACATAAACATTAATTGTGAGTAAAAAAGGAAGATAGATGCAGACGTTATAGATTTTATAATATCATTGTCTATTTATTTGTTAAATGTAAACAATTTAGTACCTAACCAGAGAGTCAGAGAGTTTCATTCCAGTTTTGAATCGCAGCTGATTTGTGCTTAAATTTCCTATTTTTATACAACGTGTTTTTCCAGTGGTATCTCATAATAACTATATGCACTTACGAAGGTACGTTGCATTCAAAAAAATTCTATCGAAAAATGTTCCATTACTATGCATTACTGTTGCTGTACGTAGCTACTGTCACAACGATGATTATAATAAAGGCGATTCATTTGAAAACAAAATCGTCTATTTATGTTAGTACTATACATTCAAATATTATTTTGCAGGACGTTATTTTTGAGATAAAATTTACTCTCTACGAACATATATGTAGGCAAATAGAAATCCAGCAAAGCTACGGATATTTGAATATATCAAAAATTACTAAATAATGCAACTAACATTTTAAATACAAATAAGGGCGTGACGAGCACATATTGCATTGCTAGAAAGTGAATAACGGGGCCAAAGACACCAAACTCTATCCTCGATTAAGAAACAAAATACAGACACGTTAACACCCTATGAAATACCTCGTTACAAATAAAAAAGCTTTCCGATTCTCTTCACTCATCTCACGATACTAAGGTCTTACGTCGGTATTCTATGAGAATGTGGTTCCGCCCCGGTTAAGCCGTAGCCGCTTACGTGGTAGAGCCATGTTGCAGCTATATTACAGATAGACCCGGTCGAGCCAATCCATTTTTGTTACAACCATAACCATAGCCGTATGGTAATGAGCACGCTCTACAGAATACGTATGGTAAGTGTAGAGATACGTAGACCCTTTTTATTGGATACGAGGCATTCCGTCTTAGTACCTACTCAGGGGTGACAACGCATCTGCATTTTGATTCTTTATCGGGGATAAATGTAGATATCTATGGGTCACAGTAACCACTTACCATCAGACGGACTGTGTATGTGTGTTTGTCACCCTTATTCTATAAAAACAAAAAAGCCACCCCATTCATGCAGTTTCTATGTGCCTGTAGCACTTAGAAAAATTTGAATATATATTATGTGTTTGAGCATACAAAATATTTGTAAACAAATATATAAAAGTAACTAATTAATTCATTTATTAAGTACAGCCCATATAGATTCCACTGCTGAACATAGACCTCCTCAATAGATTGCCGCATAGGGGGGATATTTGTTATAGTTGCCACGTTTGGCAAGCGAGTTGGTAACCGCGGTTTTTTATTTTTAATCGTTATTAAGAAGACACCGCTGCCCATCTCCTAATTTGTTTCCCTCTGTCGCCTCTTACGACACCCACGGGATGATACGGGGTAGTGGTTAATATTCTTACACTGCCTCTACACGGTTAAATTGCATAATACGCGATAAATCCGAATACAATCGTCTCCAGCTCTACTGAAATGCAGCCAGGCGTAATATTTCAGGTCTTAAAAGTCTCTTAAGATTTACTGCTGCTACTACAATATCAAAGTATCTCAGGCCCCATACTTGCTTTCTTGCATCCACTTCTTTGTCAACAAATGCTATTCTTAATGAATGCAAATAAAGAGTGTTCAAAAACAAAATAGATTTCTACATAGTAATTCTATTGATCTATTTTAATTCATAAAAAATTATACTTTTTGAAGAGTTTTTGGAAATTATTTTTTGTTTTATTATTGATATAGTGTAACTTACTTCTTAAATAGTAATGAAAATATCTTATCATTAAATTAACACATTCGATTAAGTAAATTTTTGAATTTATTCAAAAAGGTTTTAGGAAAAGTAAAGGCATGTAAATTGTATTTTTCTTGTAACTTATATGGAGTCTCCTTCGTAGTAATTCGTAATTATAACAGTTATGGTTTAAATTTAATTATTTCATTTTCCAAAAACCAAATCGTGTAACCCAGTTTTTCAAAATGTCAGTTACTTATGATTTGCACGTTGGATAAATTATAACTAATAAAATATTAAATTTATAATTGTTACTGTAAATTAGAAATAATAAAGTATAACATAAATGAAGGCTTATAGGTACTATGTTATTGAATATTACTGATGAATTAGTGCAGTTTGTATTTTTAAAATTTATTATTAATCAACAAAAATGCATCTTTCTTAATAGAACAACTCATTTGTTTTTCTTATTGTTATTATTTTAAGTAAGTTAGCATTGGCATCTCCAAACGATAAATAAAAATTCAGTATCAATTATTGTGACGATCGTTGAATAATATTTTGAGTTATAAAATAATTAAATTTGAATAATTAATTAATAGTAGTTATTGTGTTGTCTATCAAAATACAAAAAAAAATTAGCAGAGGAATTTGGGAAAGTGAAACACAGTTTGTGTGTGTATCTATTTATTTTAATATCAAAAATAAACTTCAGAACCAACATGTTGTCCTCCGCCTAATAATTATGAGGATTTACTTGGCAATACATCACAATAAAATTGTATGGTAACTTAACAAACACTTTAACGTTTTAACGAGACGCTGAACAAGAGGTATTTACATATTATCTTTATATCACTTTAAAACCATGCGTTTTTTTTTTATAACGTCACTTTTATTGTCCAATAGCAACGGGGGGCTGCAAATTATAATGTCCATGAAACATTGCGTAGTTGTTCCTCGTAGCGCACTGATAAGAGCCTAACGGGGCAGAGTATTGTTGGTAAAAGCGATGGTCTCTCATTGGAGTGCGCGCGTACAGAGCGTCTTGATGAACTTCTGGATACCAGCCGTTGGTAGGAACACCACCACTGCCGAATACCGAACTAGCATTATACACATTACCAGCATTAGCAGGGGGAGCGACTGCGCCGTAATTCACAGATGTCTGCTGTTTCTGTTCAATGGAAGGACTGGACACAGTTCCATAACTTGTGCTACCAACTGAAACGGGAGGTGCAATGTCGCTAGACGTAACCGTTATTTCTTCACTTTTATCCGATTTCGCTGTTTCATCCTTATCGTCTTCCTTTACTTTCTTACTCTTTCTTGACGCATTCGCGTGGGTCTTCACATGTTTCGCTAGATGATCCGATCGCATAAAACGCTTCGAACATAACTGACACACGAACCTCTTTTCGCCAGTATGGGTGCGGAGATGCCTTTGTAACTCATCGGAGCGGGTGAATCGCTTGCCGCAAAAAAGCCAATTGCAAACAAAAGGGCGCTCGCCAGTGTGCCAGCGTAGATGAGCTTTTAAGTGCGACGTTTTCCCGTACACCTTGCCGCAACCGGGAACGTGACAGACGTGTTCACGCTTGGCGCCATCCTTTCCGTAGTTGGGACCAAATCCAGCTGCTTCTGTGAGACAGTTGGGGCATCGGCACTTTGCACAGCGTCGCTGTAGTTCCCGTGCGTCTTCTGTCACTGTGGCGGTGGTAGCTGGCCAGTAGGCTGGATACTGCGCTGGATAGGGCTGCAAGTCACGCCACGCAGCCGCCGCAGCACCACACCACGCTCCAGAAGACGCGCTGCTGCAAGAGGACAGATCCGATGCCGGGGACAGTGCATCACCCCGACCATAGCCGCATCCGTATCCACCCATCATATTCATCATCTGCAACAATCACAAAACCTTAATTCAATAACTTGCTTAATAATTTAACGAAAATGTAACATTTTTGTTTTACTGTTACTACTAATGATTTAACTATTGTTTAAATTCTGCTGAATTATGTTGATAATAATATAAATTACTAATTGAAATTATAATAACAGTCGAGTTATTAAATTTCTTAATATCTGTATTAGATCTAGTTTAATTAAATGCTATCATAGCGTCAATCAAGGCGTGGGCGGGTGGACGAACCTGTTGCGCAGGCGGATCCACGTATTGCATTTTCAGCGACAGTGGTGACAACGTAGCGCGACCGAAACTTTAACTGGATAATTACAGGGCGGCGCACCGCTCGCGCCGAGACGTTTTTAATAACTGGCTTGGAATAGACGTAACGAGCGGTTGTCACCTCGTCCCGGCCCCGCAGGCACCCCGCGAGCGGCGTGCGCGCACCCCAACGCCCCGCGCGCCGCACCCCGCGCCCCACCTCACCCCCGGCAGCGCAGCCTCCGACACACCTCGCTCCGCCCGTGAATTATGGCTTTGCGACTCTACCTCTTAGGTGAAAGAAAAACTAATGCATGAGAACACCGCCACGCAAAGGTTATGTTTACATTTCCTATTATAACCGCCTTGCGTCAATTTGTGGTAACGTCAAAGCTTGCCTTACTTAAACTTTTGTAGTACCAACATTGTTTTTATTTTTTAGCTTTTACAATTAACTCAATTCACAGCATGAATACATAATTGTATGACATCAATGTTACGAAATTTATCCATATATCTTTCTTTATTTAAGACCTCTAATATGTTAAAACAGATTCTAAGACAGCGATACTACGAATTAATTAATAATAGAATTACTGGCAAGGCAATATTTGTCCTAAAGTTCATAGTCAATTGGGACTTCTCTATAGTGGAATAAACTTCAAGTTATCTTTTTCAGTGGCATGGTAACAGAAAAACTTAATAGCTACATACTAGGCTAAGAAAAATATTAGCAAATCATCCATCTTCTTCTAATTTCTTAGTCCCTACGATTGCAAGTATTTACAGATGCAAGGATAGACAAATTGTTGATAACAGCACGAAACGTATCGCTCCTATGATATTCCTTTCCGAACTCCCAGGCGCATTAATGTTTTTAATTTTTTTTCTCTATTTCGGTCGGCAGTTCGCGGCTGACGTATGATTTATGCATATTCGAGCGGAGCCAAACCTTTAATTACACGTTGTTAAAATATGGCAGTTTGTTAAATCGTTTGCCTTGCTTGCTTTTGTTTTACCGCTCTCCATAGAGGGGAGTGTGGTACCTTTTCTTTAAGAGATTTCTTAAATTGTATTCACATCAATATACAGATGTACCGAGATAAGAAATCTCAAGATACTGACCAATAATCCAATCACAAACCCGTTGATGTTTTTTATTACTTGTTTATTGAATAAGGGTTACATAATAGTAAAAAAAACGTACTTTATCTGAAATGTTGTTCATACCTAATGAGCTAGGGACGTATAGGTAAAGTCTATACGTCCCTAGCTCATTAGGTACCTGGACACAAGACTCCTCTCATTTCTAAGGGTTTTAGGACACAGCACAGAAGAGTTACTGCCCCAATGCGTATTAGCGGACTTCACACATTCCCGATATATTTTTTAACTGACTCTGACGATGTTTTTATTTTTTTTATTCCTTATAAATCTATACAAATAAATAAAATTGAAGTGTCTCTTTGTAATATCAAAATTACAGCTTTTTACTAAATGCATGTGAACGTATATACGGTACTTATAACAAAAATACAATTTTTAAAGTTTTTGTCTGTCTGTCGGTCTGTCCGTCCGACTGTCTGTCTACACTGTTTTATACGACTGTTTGTTCCGGCTAATCTCCAAAACGGCTGAACCGATTTTGACGGGATTGTCACTGGCAGATAGCTGATGTCACAAGGAGTAACTAAGGCTACTTTTATTTTAGAAAAGAATTAGGGTTCCGCGCAAAAAAATTAAAACCCCAAATAACACTCGGGCTAACTTGCGGGGAACAGCTAGTTATTATATAAACATTTTACTTTATAACTGATTTGAAAAATTCCAAAGTACTGGAAGAACCAGAAAATCCCTTCAGCGACCTATTTATGGTGAATAATATTGTTTACTAGCTGTTCCTCGCGACTTCGCCCGAGTGTTAGGGTTTTTATGTTTTCACGCGGAACCCTAATTCTTTTTCTAAAATAAAAACATCCTCCTTATGAAATCAGCTATCTGCCAGTGAAAGTCTCGTCAAAATCGGTCCAGCCGTTTCAAAGATTAGCCGGAACAAACAGACAGACAGACAGACAGACAGAAAAAGGAGATTGTTCATTCTTGGCTTAACGTAGACAAGTTGTTCTGTGAAAAGTATTTTTACGAAAAAATATAATTAAATCTAAAATTAATATTTTTTTAATTGTCGTAGTATGAAAGTAAATTTAAAAACAAGTCGTTTAATAAGTATTAAAGCCGATCGCCATTTTTTGGTTGGAGACTGATTCTGTCCTGCCACATTAATAATAATTGTGATTACAGTCTTAATAATCGATTATTAAAATAATCGATTACTAAATCTGAGTAAAAATATATGTATTTTCTTGAAAATGTGCAATCAAGTGATTTTCAGAAGTTTTTTATTATATTTATTTTCCTTTAATTATAAAGCCCGGCTTTACCGTTGGATATTGAATCTACTCATGACGATAACTGATTTTGGTAAACGTTGAATCGGCTTTAAATGACAAGAAATACTCATAATTGTAACTTTTTCAGCGACAACTTTTAGCATTACACATGCTAAATATGAAATATTTTTACACTCTCCTGCAATCTTATTACTATAATTCGTTTCTTTGAGTTATAAACTATTAAAAACCCCACTCATTAAATACTATAGTTAATGTTCACGTTAAGCCAAATTACCCTAACAAACTGAGCAATTCCCTTTAAAAATTGTATTTTAGTTATAAGTACCGTATTTAATTTCATATGCATTTAGTAAAAAACTATAATTTCGACATTACAAACAGACACTTCAATTTTATTTATTTGTATAGATTTTAGTCGTGAAAGAATTTGCACACACTAGATTTATGATGAAGCGCATTCACTGCTCTCAGAAGCTCTTAGAAGCATAATTACGTTACAGTTATTGCTAGTAATACATTTTAAATATAGTTTTTCGTGCATTGCCCTAAACTTACTACATAAAATATTAATTTTTAAACAGATGTCCAATATATTTAATCCAGAAACCACATTTCAATCTTCAACTATATTGAAATCGCTGGCTTTTTAATTTTGAATTTTGCTACGGGGCGACGCTACTGACAGAAGCTATGCATTATGTTTTTAATAAAGAGAGATGGATCAAATTAACATACAGTTCATTAAATTTAACTATTATTATAAAGACACTAGAATCTAGCAGTTTTCAAGCTTTTATGACCATTCTACAAAACAAATGTATAGAGCTATGATGGAGCTACAGTGGAGCTTTGAAAATTGCTTCCTAGTAGATGTCCCCGTTTGAGAGTAACCACATAGCAGATCACATAAAACAAAAAAAATGTCCATCATTGGGCTTACGCCTTCATTAAGCGCTACTTGGACGTACATCACTCAGGATATTCCATACACACTACCATGGGCAGATGGATTAGTGAGCACAAAGCCTATTCACAATTCACATACAGTAGAGTAACGGCAAGGTATTTAACCAAATTTTGTTTGACAATTCTAGTTTTCTATTTTGTTTTTAATTTTAACTTCATGTGCAAATATGAATTTCCGCGAGATGACTATAAAAAAATCGTGCCATTTGCTGTAGATACCATCGGTGCTAGGATACCACGGTCCACGCGCAGGGACGATTCTAAAGTATCCGCGGTTGGCCATCGTCGCGAGTAGATAATATATAGAAGTATATAATACATTTCTGGTTCTTTTATCTCAAAAGGCAAAGGCTTAGTAAATCTTTTTAGTGGGAAACGCAGCCAGCGTTCTTGGCACTATGCCATAGCGAGTGGGACTGTCCAATATTTTTTTTATTTTTTTAAAAGTTGTATAATATATAAGTACTAGCTAGCTTAAGTAATAGCTATTACTCTAGCTGATAGGGCGCCTTTTCAGTTTAGAAACCCGCTTTGAAGGTAAGAAAACCATAACTATAGACTGTGAAGCATTTGATATTAGTCCTCAGAGGTAACAAAGTACATTTACCATCGAGTGGACTATTTTTGTTGACACTAATAACAAAAATACACATACCAAACGGGCAATGAATTGTAAAGAAACCTGCATGTCTGAAATAGAAAATATACTATTACAGGGCTACAGTAACTAAAACAGGGTGGCGGACTTTGTTTTTTATAGGATAGGCTGACAAACGAGCATACAGTCGTATCTATGAGTCATAGCAACCACGGTGAATGGTTGCTGTGACTCATAGATATCCACATCTATCCTCAATAAAGAATCAAAATGCAGATGCGTTGTCAGGTCACCCGTGAGGACAAAGATGGAATGTCCCTTTTCCAGTAAAAAGGGTCTCCGGTTCTCTACACTCACTATACGAAACACAGCAGTGTTAACCTGCTATTTTACGCTGGTATTCTGTGAGAGCGTGGTCCTTCCCCGGTCGAGCCGATACATTCGTGCTACAACTATACTACTAATATAGCTGCAGCATGGCTCTACCACGTAAAAAACTAACTAATCGATAGCTCTTTCAAATATAAGAGTTCTACCAAGCTGCAGGGCGTAAGTAGATTCTAATTTTTACACATCTCTAAAATATCCCTAACAATGCCGAGCAATTACCATTATGAGAAGCATCTGATACTCTTATCACCAATCTGCTTGATAACTAATAATTGCAAATAACTCTACGACTAACCCTCAGCACACATAATATTACAACCACTAATACTGAAGATAGATTTGAAGGGGAAACATTAAATAAATACAATAACATACCTCGACTTAAATATAACTTGTACTTGTACTTACATATACTTTATCCAATTGACGTGTATTTTTTTACAATAATATCTAAATAAAAAATCAGTTTATTTTATAGGTATTCAAAAATTACAAATGTTTAATTATTTCAAGCATTTTAAATTCACAAATGCAACAAATAACCTGTCGACACGTTTATTGCCCGATAGAACAATGGTGATCGGTGTTTGGGACGAGACAAGTCCCGCCGGGCTACTGTGTCCCGCTGGTGTCGTCTCACAAAGCCC